GCTATTTTCTTCAGGGGAACGGAGCTCTGTCATCTGGAGAGCCACTGTAATTCTGGGAGATCTCCAGGCCCCACCTAGAGGTTGGCAAGCATACTTGGCACCAGGGGTCATTTCGTAGAAAAAGAGGTGCAGGAGCTCATTAGCTTAACTTATTAGCATAACTTATTTGCATATGCCACACCCCCTGACATCACCGGAAGTGTGTCAGAAGGCAACACCCACCGCTCAGGCTCCACTGGACTGTTTTGGATTGATAGCTATTGGTGGGGGGATGTGCAGATCTGTCCTCGCAGAGGAGGGAGAGCTTGTACCTGAATAAACCTTGGTCTTAAAGGTGTCACTGGACTCTTTTGGATTGCTAGCTATGGGGGGGAATGCTCAGATCTGCCCTCACAGAGGAGGGAGAGCTTGTACCTGAAGGCGGGCAGGGAGGTCCCTTTGCAACTTACCTGGCTGCTTCTTGCTCCTCGTGGCCCGACTGAGGGCTGCTGGAAGCAGGGGGCAGGGCTTGTTGCATGCGCCCACCCTCTGGGCTCCTTACTGCCGGAGCTCCGCTCCTGTGTGCTCCTGCAGGAAATGACCCCTGCTTGGCACCCTTCAACTCTGCCAAGCTGATCCCCATATATTGTTTCCTGTTGGTGATCTCTCCTGCTGTGTCCAATGACCATCTTTTCTCTCCTGGGGCCCCATATGCATAGAACTGTTTCTGCCTCTCGTGAAACCCTTTCCTCTCCCTCTGTTTTTAATTTTTTTTTTTTGGGGGGGGGGTGACTGTCAAGTGGCAGCCAACTTATGGCACCCCCCATAGGTTTTTCAAGGCAAGAGACTAACAGAGGTGGTTTGCCATTGCCTTCCTCTGCATAGTAACCCTGGAATTCTTATAGTCTCCCATCTAAATGCTAATCACAGCCCCTTCTCAGCTTCCAATATCTGAGGACATCAGGCTATCTGGGTCAGGGTTCAGCCTCTTACACTTTCTCCCCCCCCCCCGCAGGTGCTAACTCTGGCTAAAGCGAAGCAACTCACCTGGGCCAATGCTTTGCCCAGGTAGCATCCAAGTCCCCATGTGAAAGGGTTTTTTTTTTTTGCTTTGGCTAGAGTTGCGCAAACCTTACTAGAGTGAATGCTCTCTTCCCCCTGTTTCTCCATTCTTCATGTTAAATATTACATTGCAGCCTCCTTGGGCCAGACTTCTGTCATCTAGGACACAAAAGCCTTATAGTGCCTTGTATTAAGACCGACTAAAATAACACAACACACTGTGCTGCTGAATATCGAAAGCTTGCCTGCTGTGCCTACTTCCATACAGGGATCCCCGCACCACCCGCAATGTGAACAGCGCAATGGCCCTTGCTGTTTTGGGATCATCCACATACAATCCATCTGGTTCCCCTGCTGAACCAGAGCACATAAAAACATAATTTTCTCCAACACATCAGGGGAAGTTTCAATATAGCTGTGGGCAAAACATCCCCGTGGATCCTTTGTCTGCAGCCAGTTAAGCTCCTCCTTCAAAATGGCAGAATTAAGCTCCCCATCCCCCCACCCCTTCAGCTTTTAAAAGGGCTTTTTTTGCTTTCCTGACTGAGCTGTGCATGTGGAGGCGGTGTGTGTTTGGGTTGCTCTGAATCAAGAAGGTGGTGCACTGCTTCTACTTCTTAGCTAAATGGCTAACTACTTTTTTTTGTTTGCGTATCCCTGCCTTTAGAAGTGAGGCAGGTAGTCACAAAGGATAGGGCCTCTTAGTGGTTACCTTCCAGCCACGGAATGTCCTTTGCTTTCATCCCTGCCTTGGGGTTCTGATGTAGAAGCACCTTTTGGCAGCAAGTCGAGAGTCCTTTAAAGTTCAGTTTTCTTACCATCTTGTTCTGGTGGAGCATTGATATGTGTTCCGATGTGCTGGTGGTGCTGTGTTAAATGTTCTGATTTTGCTAGCTGGAGCTGTGGATGTCATGAATTATGGGCTGCTGAAAGCCACATGACTGCCATACACTTCAATGGCACTGTTCAGAGTATGATGCAGTCAATACGATGCAACTCCAGGGGTTTTCTAGCATGACACTTCCATCTTCTGTCTACTACAAAGCTAAGGAGATCTGTTTCTGCCTGGTACCAGGCTTGTTTCTGCCTGGTACCAGATGACGCCCAGCTATATCTGTTGTTGGGCGGTCAGTCCGACTCTACCCCTGAGGACCTGGACTGAGCGCTTCAGGATGTGGTGGGCTGGCTTAGACTGAGCTGACTGAAATTGAATCCAACGAAGACGGAGGTCCTGAGTCGGAGTGGGTCGGGATCCCACTACCGACCTTCAATGGGGTACCACTGGTGCCAGCGCCAAGGGTCAGGTGGCCAAGTCTTCTTACCTTGGCAGCGGGGGAACCTCGCTGGGCTCTGGGAGTTCCTCGGCGGTGCGTGCGCTCAAAGCACGCGCGCGCCGCCAGCACGTCACAGGAAGTGACGTGCTACGTCACTCACGTTGAGGGCGTGGCCCAGATCGTCAGAGGGAAAACCTCTGCGCTTCGGGGGGGGGGGTTTCCCTCGGGGCCTGATTCCGCGGCGGTGGAAATCGGGCCTCCAAAGCGGGGGGAAATCCGCCCCCTGGGGGGACTTGGCAGCCCTAAGTGGTCCTGGAATTCCTTGGAGGTCTCCCATCCAAGTACTAACCAGGGCTGCTGCTTCGCTCCTGAGAACTGATGAGGTTGGGCTAGCCTGGGCTATCCAGGTCTGCCCAAGCTAAGGCCCCGGCCCCTGAATCTGCACTCAGAATGAATCATGCATGCAAATGTACTTCTGTGTTAGGCACAGACCCGGGAAGCCGAGTGTATATGTGGGCAAGATACAGCGATGGGGGACATTGTTCATCAAAGCTTACCAAGAAAAACATGAACTTACGAAACTATGGAGTATGCCTTATCAGAGGGCCTGAGCACACATTATGTTACCCCCCACATCTCCAGTAGAGAGGCATGTTCTGAAGTTCCGCAAGCTTATCAGGCTTATCACCAGTTTGATGTAGTGGTTAGACTCTAATCTGGGAGAACTGGGTTTGATTCCCCACTCCTCCACATACAGCTGCAGGTGTGACCTTGGGTGAGTCACAAGTTCTCTCATGTGCAGTCCTCGGAAGAACTTTCTCAGTCCCACCTACCTCACAGGGTGTCCATTGTGGGAAGGGGAAGGAGTCTGTAAGCTGCTCTGAGACTCCGAATGAAGGGCAGGGTATAAATCCAATCTCCTCTTCTTCCTCCTCTTCTTGCGTGTGGGCCTAACTTGGACTGGGGCTACAGCCTGTGAAGGGAGGACTTTAGAACTCCCCCTCCTGTGCCATCTGTCCGATTGAAATGGCCCCAGGGGAGCTGCTGTTTGCCTCACTGAGTTCTGCATGTGGATGGCTGAGCTACTCATTATGTTTCCAGAAGGGGGCAGATGAGGCCCCTGGGCTGGTTCAGGCTAGAAAAACGGCACGGGTGGGGGGAATCTAAGCCCCCACATGACACAGTCTTGATCTGAATTGGGCCTAGCCTAGGAAGGGCAGAACTTCAGGGTGTGCCTCCCTGTGAGACCCAGGGTCATTCCAAGAGAAAATGTAACGTGTCTGTCAACTCAGTGACTATCTGGTTCTAGGCTTGTCATGACCCACCTATAATCGACATGGGGCTGAAATCATACTCCCAAACCTCTGGCTCCCTAATACAACTCATAAGCCATCACTGGCAATAAAGATGTATTGATATCTATCCAAAAATAAAAGTTTTGTGGAAAAAAAAGATGTTTTGATATCTGAGTCGGGGAAAAATCTAAACTGTACCACTTCTTTTGTTGCCACTCCAAATGATAACAAGTTTGTACACTAATTAACAAGGGCCCTAATCCACCAGTTCCCCTCCGCAAGCCTCACTTGTATAAGCAGAGCTGGGAAACAGCTGCATCAGTCCACACCTATTCCACATCTCTTTTTTTTCCCCCCCCCCCCCCCCCCCAAGAGTCAACACTGGCAGAGAAGATGGGCCCCTGTGCTCAAAGCTCACTATTCTTTCCTGATGTGCAAGGAATACATACCTTTTTTTTTTTTTTTGCCGTGAAGTCACATCTGACTTATGGCAACTCCTGGTGGGGTTTTCAAGGCAAGAGACATTCAGAGGTGGTTTTGCCATTGCCTGCCTCTGCGTAGTGACCCCAGTCTTCCTTGGTGGTCTCCCATCCAAGTGCCACCCAGCGCCAACCCTGCTTAGCTTCTGAGATCTGATGAGAGCAAGTTAGCCTGGCCTATCCAGGTGAGGGCATGCCAATACATACTTAAAGGTAAAGGTTCCCTTGCTCGAAAGCCAGTCGAATCTGACTCTAGAGCAGGGCCGGATTTAGACTTGCTGAGGCCCTAAGCTATACAAAACCCAGAGGCCCCCTACTGTTTTAAATTACATCAGCTGGTCTCAGAAAAATTTAAAATATATACGCCTTTTTAATATTTGAAAACATATTGTATTTTAATTTTTATTAAAAATAATAATAAAGGGTGCGTTTACAAAATCACAGAAATAATTACATAATTACAAATAATTTCAAATAAGGCTCCAGCAGATTGCGAGGCCCTAAGCTGTAGCTTATTTAGCTTATGCGTAAATCCGGCACTGCTCTAGGGTTGCGGTGCTCATCTCCGTTTCAAAGCCGAAGAGCCAGCGCTGTCCAAAGACGTTTCCGTGGTCATGTGGCCGGCATGACAACACCAAGGCGCACGGAACGCTGTTAGCTTCCCACCGAAGTGGTACCTATTTATCTACTTACAATTTCTTGCTTTCGAACTGCTAGGTTGGCAGGAGCTGGAACTAGAGACGGGAGCTCACTCCGCCATGCGGCACACTCAGGTCTCGAACTCCTGAACTACCGACCTTCCACAGCCTGCAGTTCAGCGTCTTAACCACTTGACCCACTGCAGCTCCTATTACATACTTACACACCTCCAAACAAAAGGACACAGCACAAAGGTTTTTAAAAAAGGAGTTGTGTTTCTTTATTCAATAATTATAACTGTAGCTGAGTTCAGCCATTACACAGGGTAGGCACAAGGTTTGGGAAAAGGGGGCACCGTTCTCTTCCTCAAGAAACCGCTACTTCACTGCTTCTCTCTCTCTCTCTCTCTCTCCCAACAGTGTCATGAAGGGCATGTCCTCCTTTTCCTCTAAACAGTCCTGTGTAATTGGTGGTAGGGAGGAAAGCCAGGGTCTGGCCCCAGGGGTGGCAGGCAGGGCCTGACTCTGCAGCTGCTCTGCAGTGGCTAGATGAGGCAGCCCAAGCTGTGAGGCGTGAGCAGTGCAGGAAGCGGACTGGCTGGCGGTGCAGTGAGGTGGCGGCGGCCCGAGGGAGGGAGTGTGCGTGGCTTCTCCGGGGTACGACAGACACTGATAAATAACAGAAAGGGCCTTTCCCTCCCCACACCCCACCCGCCCCGGGATGCCTTCTGTTGGGTTGGACGGCTGCACTCCCGCCTCCCCTCCCTTACCTTCCCGAACAGAAGGGCTGACGTAGCTGGGGGAGAAGGGTGCTGGCTTTGGTGCTCTCGCTCTTCTCACTTCACACGGCTGCACTGGCAGAGCGTTGGGATGGCAGAGTCTCTGCGTGTGTTTATGCCATGTGGCTGGGAAGGGGGAGGCAGGCGACAGTTCCAGCGAGAGGTCCTAGAAGGGCAGGAGAGTCCGGCAGTGCAGTGACGCCTTCCCTTTCTCTCGGGGCTCCTGCTCCCAAGCTGGAGGCCTGAACGTTGGGCTGCTGGGAGCTCCCGCGGGCCCGCAACTCAGAAGCCAGAGGAAAGGAGGCCGTCCGGGTCAGCAAACCAAGAGGCTCCTCTTTGGTCCCTTTCTAGGCCGAGCTGAGGGCCCTCCCCCCCTTCCGCCTAGATCCCCTCCGCCTCCTCGTAGAGCAAGGCTCCGCTGAAGACGGTAAGCGGTTCGTCTAGAGAGCGGGCCAGCCGGCCGGAAACCAGGTCCACGCAGAGGGTCTCGCCAGCTTCCATGGGGACGACAAGGGTGAAGACCGCCAGGGCCCCCGTGCTTGGCTGGCTTTCGGCCACCGGCTTGTTCTCCAGGCCTTCGGGCTGGTATCCGGCTGAGTCGCTGCGGGCAATCACCTGGTTGGAGCGGGACAGCACCGCCTCGATCTTCTCGCCTCTGTGCCCTGTCAGGATGGCGCTGACCAGGTAGCGGCCGGAAACAGGAGCCGTGAAGATCCCTGTGGGGACGAGAGGTGAGGAGAATCCCCGAGGCAAAGAGGCAGGGATTAGGAATGGGGGTGTTTTTTTGTGTTCCACTGCTGGAGTCAAGGCAGCTGCGGCTTCCGAGGCTGCCTGCGTCCCCATTAAGATCTTGCTTCCAACCAGGCGCTGGTTTTAGATGATGGGGGTGGGGGGAAAGTGCTGTCAAGTCACAGCAGCTGACTTATAGTGACCCCGTAAGCGTTTTCAAGGCAAGAGACATTTCAGAGGTGGTTTGGCCATTTGCCTGTCTATGCAGAGCAACCCTGGGTTTATTTGGTGGTGTCCCACCCGAGTACCTCCCAGGGCTGACCCGGTTTAGCTTCCAAGATCGGGATGCCCTGTTCAAACACAGCCTTCCACAGTTCAATATCTGTGTGGAGCACATTTCAGGCCGTGCAGCACCGCTTCCTAGGGCAGCAAGACATGTCTGGCCGCCCTGACTCCTCCCACTCCTTTTCTCTGTCTCCTGTCCAGCTCACATAGACTATAAAGGCCTTTTATGGTTTCCATGTTCTGTGTACTACCCTGCACACACCTAGTGTTAGAGAAAAGGTATTTTATTCATCCATGTACATGTTGGTTGAGAAGGCTGAGGTTTTGGAAGGTATGACCTTCCCAAGTTTTGATGGAGTCAAGTTATCTTTGTTGGACTCGGTGAACAACTTGGGAATAAGGTAGGAGCCGACTCTTTTGCTGGAAAAGCAAGTCCGTGAAGGAGCCAAGGGCACTTTTTCATAAATTAAAACCATGCTTAGAATCAGTTGACTGGTCATACTGATCCACAGCAACCTGGAGGCTAGACTACTGTAGCACACTCCATGCTGGGCTACCCTTGAGGACTACTTGGAAACTTCAGCTGGTGCAAAATACTGCTGCTCAACCAATCTTGTAGGCGCTGCACTGGTTTCCTACCTGTTTCTGAGCCCGCTTGAACATATCGGTTCTTACCTTTAAAGCTCTTCACGGCCTGCAGCCCTCATATCTGCAAGACTGCCTCTCCCTGTATACTCCTTGGCAACAGACGCACTCTGACAATGAAGACCTATGATTGGTTCTGACCTTCAGGTAAGTTTGGTCCTCAGTTGCCTGAGTTATTTTAAATCTGGACTGTATATTATAAATCTGTTGTCTTTGGGGGGTTTTTTTGTGCTTACTGTAATCTGCCTGGGGTCCCTTGGAAGAGAGGTGGGATAGAAACAAATTTCTCCTGAACCCTAGGACTCAAGGTGTCTCTGAAGCATTACTAAGTGACAAGAGCCTTAAAATTTCCCCCAGTAGTTCAATGCTTTGGAATCAAAGCCACTGCTGCCTCTTCCTCAAAAAATTAAAACACAAAATTAAAACACAAAATCCATCTTGGATTTTATGTAAATTAATTAGCACCAATTTTTATGTCAGATATATTGTTTTATCATGTTGTTGTTTGTATGTATATTTTAACCTTTGTAAGCCGCCCCGAGCTGAATATTGGATGGGGCGGGATATAAATCCCAAAATAAATATAAATAAATACATAAATATAAGAGTTGGGGTTACGTGTGTGACCTCCACGCCATTCTCTCTTCAACCCACTTTCCCTTCCCCACTGACCTGAGGCAGGGTCATAAAAGTTGCCGTCATTCACCAGCACCCTGTCGAAGGGGATGGTTCCGGTCTCCACGTGCCGGGAGGTTAATGCCGCAGCGAAGGAGACTTGGGGTATCCTTCCGGCAGGACCTGGCAGCCCTGCAGAAGGGAGAAGGGTGGATTAATTGGCTTCTTGGAGGTCCTTCTCTGCTCCTCCAGCTGTCCCCGAGCCATCAGACTGCGTGCTAGCCACCAAGCAACTAGCTGATTCACGTCTCTTGCTGTGGTGACTCAGTTTTAAGAGGCTCATTTGGAGGTACTTCACTACTGAGCAACAGACTAACTTCCCCCCACACACAAACACACCAGGGAGCTATCCTTTCGTTGACCTGCTCACCAAGCTTAACAAGCAAAGCAAAAAAGAATAACAGCATTCAAAGCCCGAGTTCCATACATAGCTGACACAATCTCTCAAGCTGCGTTTTCAAATGAAAGATACTTTTATCAGAACCCTACAGTTTCTGTGCAAGGCATTTCTTTAATAAAAAAAAAAAAACCCAACGGGCTCTAAGCTTTCAAATGGCAAATTACTCAGCTCAAAAGCAATGGGGGTTCATTTTACTGGGGGGGGGGATTTCTGATCTGTGGGCTGAGTGATAGAGGCAGCCCAGTTTTTCTCTTGAGGCTATTTTGATTCTGGTACATTACTGTAAGACAGGAAGGCCCAATTCTTCTTCTCACAATCAGCGTGAGTCTAAATCTATCTACTTGCTCCCCTTACTACTGCAAAACAGAACCTATGTTCGGGAAACGGGTTGATTTAAATATAAATCCAATGAATTGTAGCAAAATGACCCACTGATTAAGTGGAACACAGAATGTATGGCAGTGATCGCCAGCTGGGGAAATACAATCCACAATTGCCACACGACAGATTCCCCCCCCCCCTGCAAGATATTACCTATCTAGACTTCACTCTTATACTCCTCCCCCAGCAAGGAGCTCAGGGTCACATGCACAGTGCTCCACTCCTCTTGTTTTGCCCAAATCACAGCCCTATAAGGATTGAGAGAGTGACGGAGCCCTGATCCCACAGTGAGCTTTCATGCTGGGGCAGGGATTTGAACACTATTTCCCCCCCACCCCGATCCAAGTCCGGCATCACCTTGCACTGGTTCTCTGTTCTTTTTCTAATCTTTCAGCGTACAGAAACAGAGGAGAAGGGACAAAGTTAAATGTAATAAAGCACAGCACGGCCACCATCAAATCCAGGCCAGTTTGGCCCTGCCCTTTCATTCCAGATTCCCCGACACAGGGACAGTGACACGTGGATGTGCCCGATCTTTACCTTGCTCTCCAGGGAGACCTGCAGGAGAAAGAATGAATTTCTATAAGGATATGGGGAGTGTCAAGAGATATCCCATGGATGGGATGACATGCTCCTCCTCCCCCCATATAACCACTGGGCCCTTCTGATCCCAGAACATACACACACATGCACCCTCATGGGAAAGGTCAGGGAAGAGACTGCTCAGCTTGGACATGCTCCCAGAGGAAAGAGAGAGTCTTCACCAGTAGAGACGGCTGGTCATGCAGCTCAGTTGGTGGACAGGCCACGAGGCACACCAAGGCTGACTGGGAAGAGCTCCAAGAGGACCTCCATGAACTGGGTGAGTGGGCAACAATGTGGCAAATGAAGTTCGGTGTTGGTGATTTTAAAGTGACAAATATTGGGACCAAAAAAATCACAAGTTCAAGTATAGGCTAATAGGGTCTGAATTTGCCGAGACCGAGAGGCAAAAAGATCTTGGGGTCCTAGTGGAGAGCTCAATGAAACTGTCAGACCAGTGCGCTGCAGCGGTGAAAAAGGCAAACTCTATGTTAGGGACTGAGAATAAAATGGCCAATATTATAATGCCCTGTGTAGATCTATGGTGCAGCCTCATTTGAAATACTGTGAACAGTAAGTTCTGGTCACCTTATCTCAAAAAGGACATTGCAGAGCTGGAAAAAGTACAGAGGAGGGGCAACCAAGATGAAGAGTCTGGGACTTTTCAGTTCAGCAAAGAGATGATTGGGGGGGCGGGGCATGATAGAGGTTTATAATATTATGCATGGGGTGGAGAGTGTTGACAAAGAGAAAATTTTCTCCCTCTCCCAAAATGCTAGAACTTGAGGGCATCCAATGAAGCTGATGGCCAATAGAACTATTCAGGAGGGACAAAAGGAAATACTTCTTTACACAGAGTGAATAAAATATGGAACTTGCTGCCAGAGGATATAGTGATGGCCACAGGAATAAACAGCTTTAAAAGGGGGTTAGATATAAATTCATGGAGGATAGGTCTATCAGTGGCTACTAGCCAAGGTGACTGAGGGGAACCTCCACATTCAGAGGCACTAAACCTCTGAATCCCAGAGCCAGGAGGCAACATAAGGGGAAGGCCTTGGCCTCTATGTCCTGTTGTCCAGAGGAACTGGTTGGCCACTGTGTGAGACAGGATGCTGGACTAGATGGACCATGAGTCTGATCCAGCAGGGCACTTATGTTCTTATGAGGTTCTGCAGCTGCCATCCACCTAGGCAGCATCTCCTGTCCGGGAAGGGCAGGAAGCTCCACCTTCACCTAGCTATACCTTTACCTGGGCAGATAATTTTGGAATTCTGATCAGGCCATAACTTTTTCCTCTGTAGCCAGACAGCAGCTGTGGAGAACTATTTTTTCAAGCATGTCAGCACCAAACTGCAGTGCAGGGGGAGGGGCTTCAGCCCCCCCACCCCCAATCTTCCTGAACTGAAACGGCATTACCAAACTGTGCAGCTCTCCAATGGGGTAAATACCCCCCCAAGGCCCTTTTAGGTTGGGAAAAACTTTCCCATCCCAATCTGGCCCCTGTGACACCTAAAAACTTAGTTCCTTGCAAATGTCATCTGGCTTCAGGGAAAGCAAGTGGGGCCAGAGGAACCCAGTCCTGACTCAATAAGAAGGGCAACGTCTGGTTTGATCCTCACTGTTTATCTGCTTAACCTCTGGGAACAGGAGCCCCAAAGGGGGCCTTCCAGATTCTCTTTTGCTCCATCTAGGCTGGGGAGGAGCAACCACCTGCTGGGTTCTGGAGTCAGACATGCATCTCATCACCCTCTGTAAATTAAGGTGGGGGTTAATCATTTGGGGAGGCTCCCAAACCCTTTATAACTGGTACCCATGCAGTGTGTGCTATAGGCAGGAAGGGAAAGGAGGACGTTAGGGACAGAAGTGCTTCCGAGAGGCCGAGCACTGTCTGAGCCACTCACACCTGACCAGCTCCTCACCTGGGGGACCCACGGGGCCACTCCTTCCGTCCTTGCCAGGAGGCCCCATTGGACCTGGGACACCCGGCCTCCCTATGGGACCTTCTCTTCCTGGGAGCCCTGGAGGTCCTGAAAATGAATAAGGACGTTAGAATTCCAGCCAGCATCTCCTGCCCAGTAAGGGAGAGCCAAGGCCCTGCCCAGACCGGCTAGTTCCAGTCGCAGACTGGCAGCTGGAGGCCCCGCTCCTTCCTAGTGGTCCGCTGTACCTGTCAAGTCCTGAAGCGTGAGGTCATGCAGTTGACCCTGCAGGGTCTGGAGGGATCCGTTCAGGGTGCTGAGGCGGCGATGGATGGTGCCCAGGTGGCTGCCGTGGATCTTGTCCAGCAGGGCCCCGTGGTTGCGGAGGGTCCCGTTCACCTCGTGGAGGCAGTTCCACAAGGCTGAGACGTGCTTGTCCAGCCCTTCCTTGATCTTCCGCAGGCTGCCAGACACGTCGTCCAGCCGCTCGCAAGTGCCCTCGAGCTTCGTGAGCCGCTCCGCCAGGCCCCCGGAGGCCCGCCGGCAGTCTGACGCCTCCACCTGCAGGGTGCCGCCAAACTGGTGGATCTCGCGGCCCAGCACCTGGAAACGCTCCTCGCTTTCGCTGACGTGCTCCGTCACCTCCTGCTGCACGCGGTTGATCTCTTCGATGATGTGATCTTTGGTGGTGCCCAGCTCGTGGATGTCCGTCTGGTGCTTCTCCACCGTGGCCTGCAGCCCCGCCAGCGTCTCGTTCAGGGCACTGAAGCCCAGGATCACCTCAGACAGCTCGCCCTGCAAGGATTTGAGGTGGACGCTGGAGCTGCCGCCGATCACGCTGAAGCCGTCCAGGGGTTTCGTGGTATCCATCTCCTCTTTGCCCAGCTCCGGCCTCCTCCCCATCGGCTGGCAGGCTGCACGACAGGTCTCCACCTGCTCCCTGAGCAGCCCCAGCTCCCCTTTCAGCTCAGAGCAAGTCTGGCTGCAGCCGTCGCCTTCCAGTCCCTCGATCTCTTTCTCCAGCTTCTCCAGGCGCTTGTTAGTGCGGTTGGAATACAGCACCAGCTCTGGCGGCCCGGCGCTCATGGAGACCACCAGCCTGTTCTCCAGCTCCCCGAGCTCCCCAGCCAGCTTGCCCAGGGCTTCCGTGTTGGCCCCCACCAACCCCCGCAAGTTCTGCAGCTTGCCGGACACGTCCAGCTGGTGGACGGAGGAGCCCAGTAAGCGCAGCTGTGCCTCGTTGTCCAGCACCCGGCGTCCCAGGTCACTCAAGATGCTGCTGATCTGGGAGTCCTGGCTGCCGGGCGGGGTGCAGATCTGAGTGCAGGTGTGGACCGCCCCGCGCACTCGTTCCAGAGCCCCTTGCTGCTGCAGGGTGCTGTCCTTGAGTCCCCCCACGTCCCGCGAAAGGTTGGCCAAGGCCCGGTTGACGTGGTTCTGGAAGTCGTTGAGGCGGGAGAAGAGGAAATCCAGCTGCCCTTCGGCCCTGCGGAGCCGCTCGTCCGCTCCTTCCAACATGACCTGCAGATCCACAAAGTGTTCTTCCAGGCTGCGCTGCGTGGTGTTGACGCGGCTCTCCATCTCAGACATGCGCCTGTCCACGCTCCAGGGGGGAGGAAGGGATGATGGCCTCTGGCCTCCTCCCCCATGCTCGTTCAGCACAGCG